ACCCTACCATGAGGGCAGAATTTCATCAGTGAATTAACAAAATTAGAGGAAATAGATATATAAATTTGTTTTTTTACACATTTAAAAATAAATATACTTGAGACTTAGAATTTCTTCAATAAAATGTTTTATCTATTGAGCTGTGTACATTAAAAATATTACAAAACTGTCAGTTTTGGTTTTTGGATGATTTCCAAATGGAAATATTAGGTTTGTGAGTTTTCCTTTATTAGTTTTATAGAGTTTAGCCAATCACTGTTTCTCAAGTTCAGTTGTTATGGATTGATGTAACTGTCCATATCTCAGCTTTGAGAAGTTGTAGGCTCTTTTTCTGTTCTTTTCAACTGTTTCTGACAAAAGTGATAAAAATTAGTTGGATAATATGTAGTTTATAAACAACTTCCATCACAACTACAGTCCTGATTTTCTTTTTAAACTTCATTTTAATTATGTTGTAGCATGATAAGAAAAGGCATGTTTTAAGGGAAAAGATGAGGTAGGCTGTATGAAGTTTCATTTCAACAACAAGTCCACTACTTGTTAGGCCTTCTTGGCTTAAGTAACAGCTTGAAGGAGCATAGAAAATCATCAAAAGGAAATGTACGACAGATACATTAAAAATGGGTTTAAAACCTATTATATATTAAACGAAACCTTCTGATTAATAATTTTAAAAAGTTGCCTATTTATTATTTTGGTATGATAAAATGTTATTTTTACTGTAGGACAGTGATTGTAAACACTATGAAAATGCTTACAGGTGTTTTAAAATTGATAAAATTTACAGTTTTACAAAATTAAAAGCTTTGTTGGAAAATTTTACAAGAATATGGGAAAACATAAAAATCTGAAATTAAAAACATTTTTAACAATTTGTAAAAAAAATCAATATAAAATATTGTTGGATTTTCTCAGTTTCAAGTTCATAAAAATAACGAATTTTAAAGATACATAATCCATAGAAAGTTTATCTCAAGTTTCAAACTATTTCTTTGCAATGCAATAAAACAAACCACATATAACAGGTTTGTGGAAACATCACACCTGGGCATTTAAAAATTGAATAAGTAACCTTATTTTGTGGGCAAATAACACTCATCTAAAGAAAATCAGACTTTCTTAAATGTATTAAATTTAAAAGAAAATGATAAAAATATTGTTAAAGTGTTTTAATTTTATGTCAAAATTTCCTAATATTAAAAAACTCTACCAACAGCTTCAGAAAACAACTCTAAACTAGCTAAAGATCTTTAGTGAAACTTATTTTGTCAGATTATCAGAACAAATGTCCCAAGGTTTTATGTGGATACTGGTCATTCTATGAAAACTATACTTAAAGTTCTTCAAAATTATATTATATGGAGCATTTCATACCTAATCTTACCTTTCCAAATTAGACACACCTAGAGGTAATTAATGATACAGCATTTCATGTTACCTTACCTTCCAAGGTCAAACATCATTCAGACATGCCTGGGTGCAAGTCATGATTGAGGATTTATGTTACCTTACCTTCTAAGGTCAAACATCATTCAGACATGCTTGGGTGCAAGTCATGATTGAGGATTTATGTTACCTTCCAAGGTCAAACATCATTCAGACATGCCTAGGGATAAGTCATGATTGAGGATTTATGTTACCTTACCTTCCAAGGTCAAACATCATTCAGACATGCCATGGGGTAAGTCATGATTGAGGATTTATGTTACCTTAATTACCCTCAAAAGCCATATATCTTTTAGACATGCCTGGAGTAAGTCATGATTGAGGATTTTATGTTACCTTAATTACCCTCAAAAGCCATACATCTTTAAGACATACCTGGGGTAAGTCATGATTGACAATCTTTTGTTACATTAATTACCTTCAAAAGCTATACATTTTTCAGACATGCCTGAGGTAAGTAATGATTGAGTATTTTATGTTACCTTAATTACCCTCAAAAGCCATACATCTTTCAGACATGCCTGGGGCAAGTCATGATTGAGAATTCAAATCCAAAGTCAGACAATATTCATTCAAACATGCCTTAGGATAAGTCTAAATTGAGAATTTTATGTTGCCTTATCTTTCAAGGTCAAAAATCATTCAGATATACCTGGGGATAAGTCTAAATTGAGAATTTCATGTTGCCTTACCTTTCAAGGTCATAAATCATTCAGATATACCTGGGGATAAGTCTAAATTGAGAATTTCATGTTGCCTTACCTTTCAAGGTCATAAATCATTCAGATATACCTGGGAATAAGTCTAAATTGAGAATTTCATGTTGCCTTACCTTTCAAGGTCATAAATCATTCAGATATACCTGGAGATAAGTCTAAGTTGAGAATTTCATCTTATGTTACCCTAAAAAATCAGACATTGTTCATAAAAGCCTGGGGTAATTCATGGTTGAGCATTTCATGATATCTTACCTTCTAAGGTCATACTTCTTTCAGACATGTCTAGAGTAGTAGTTCAAGCCAACACTCGTAAGAAAGGCCATAATTTCATGATATCTTACCTTCCAAGGTCATACATTTTTCAGACATGTCTAGGGTAGTAGTTCAAGCCATCACTTGTTAGAAAGGCCATAATTTTATGATATCTTACCTTCCAAGGTCATACATCTTTCAGACATGTCTAGGGTAGTAGTTCAAGCCATCATTCGTAAAAAAGGCCATAATTTCATGATATCTTACATTCTAAGGTCATACATCTTTCAGACATGTCTAGGGTAGTAGTTCAAGCCATCACTCATTACAAAGGCCATAATTTCATGATATCTTACCTTCCAAGGTCATACATCTTTCAGACATGCCTGGGGGTAATTCATGCCACCACTTGAAAGAAAGGCCATAATTGGGTACTGTTGATGCAGGACAAGGTTCACAAGCTAAGGAATGATGAAATATGAAAGTGCAGTTTGAAGAACTGATAGAATACATTAATTACAATATATTTGTTAAAACATACACAAATTTAAATAAAATAAAAATGCAGTTGAAATTATATGCATTAGATTGAGATGCTGTTCATAATAACCATCCTTCTACGGATTGTTCATTGTTCTTCACAAGTATACACAGTAACTAAACTACTAAAAGACAGTACGCAATGGTGGACCAATAACCAGATACTTATAAACTCTCTGCTTGAGATTACTGTCTGTGTAATCACTATTGTGAACACAACTAACGCATGACATACTTAACATTATTTATTAAAGTCATGGAAACTAACACTAGAAAATATGGAACATATAACGTACACAGTAAGAAGTTTTATGTAAAATGCAAAATATATACATCAAAAGAAGAAAATCAAGCTCAGGTATCAAAATATTATGTTTTATTTCAAAAATAATAAAACACTTTTACCCAAAGAAGACATATCCACCTATAGAATGTATTACAGTGTTACTGTTTGTTGTTAAGTACAAAACTGCACAATGGCCACCACGATTATCAAAACTTGGATTTAGCATTACGAGTCTTCAGACTCATTGCTGAACCACTTGAGGTTTGAAGTTTTTTAATTTTTTGTCCAGTGATTTACAAACTTTTTTGAGTGGATGTTTTATTCCTTGAAAACTATGTAGAAATGTTCAATAGCTAAGACTAAGTACAGTACCATTGCTATATTTATTTTTAACTTTACCTGAATAACCATCAGAAAAGTGATCTTTAGGGCAGAAAGCACACATTGAATTGTTGGAATACTCCATGCCTGGATTACAGGGTGGACAGTCCATTTTTGTACCCGAGACTGGAAGCTTGGCAGCACCCTTCAGATCATCTCTACAGATCCTGGGTTTGACCCACTCGTAACGAAGCTCAGTTTGCTTCTTTTTGTCACAAGGTGTTTTTATCTCATAGTAATCAAATTTTGTACATGGAGGACGATCCACACATTTAGTTGAACCTTTGGCTGATAAAAAAGAAAAGAAAAAGAGGTTCTTTACAGATATAGAAACATTTTGTGACCCAAGAACAAAACTGGTGTGCAAAAACAGAACGTAAAATAAGGCCAAAGTTGAAATCAGATAATGTAATAAAGTGTACCTTTACAGACTGATAAAAAATCTCAACATCTAAAATTAAAACTTAATACTTTATCATTTCCATAGGTTATCAACTACTGAGAATAACCTGTTTAATCTTAGTACTAATAAAACATGGCAAAATGAAATTAAGATCCACTATGATGAAACACAAGTTTCGATACTTTAACACGTAAAGATATGGAAAAATGAAGTTAAGATCCACCATTATGAAACACAAGTTTCGATATTTTAACGTGTAAGAATATGGAAAAATGAAGTTAAGATCCACTATTATGAAACACAAGTTTCAATACTTTAACACGTAAAGATATGGAAAAATGAAGTTAAGATCTATTATCACGAAACACAAGTTTCAATACTTTAACACATAAAGATGTGAAAAAATGAAGTTAAGATCCACTATCATGAAACACAAGTTTCAATACTTTAACACGTAAAGATATGGAAAAATGAAGTTAAGATCCACTATTATGAAACACAAGTTTCAATACTTTAACACATAAAGATGTGAAAAAATGAAGTTAAGATCCACTATCATGAAACACAAGTTTCGATACTTTAACATGTAAGAATATGGAAAAATGAAGTTAAGATCCACTATTATGAAACACAAGTTTCAATACTTTAATGTGTAAAGATATGGAAAAATGAAGTTAAGATCCACCATTATGAAACACAAGTTTCGATATTTTAACATGTAAGAATATGGAAAAATGAAGTTAAGATCCACTATTATGAAACACAAGTTTCAATACTTTTAACGTGTCGAGATATAAAATATGAAGTTATGATCCACTATTATGACATGAAAGTTTCAACACTTTCATGTGTCCTCTTCAGCCTTGTCAAAGGATTATACACACAGCTTATTTTATAGAAGAAGTTCCAAGTGGCTATAGGGCACCAGATGGTTCAGCTTAAAGCGATCTTCAGAGGTGCTAAAATTTAATAATCTCTGGATTAGCGAGCTTTCCATGATTCTTCTTTTGGTAGTTTTATGTACTAATTAGGCTGATTTCCAGTTAATAAAAATTCCTCAGGTGCAGAAACATAGCAATATTTTTGTACCCTTTTTAGAAAAATAGCTGTACCACTTCATCATAGTCAGAGGCTGGATGTACAATACATATAGACTTTTAAACCAATGAAAACAGTTCAACCTTAGTACTACTGTGTGAACAACGATATGGATAACTAGTTAAAGATCCTAAATACACATGAGAACAGTAAACTTACGGGCAAACTGGATGACAGTGTCACATGGTGAACAAGATCCAGCCCCTCTTTCTGAATAAGTGTTTTCTTTACAGGGTGTGCAAAGCTTTGAGCCTTTGCTGCTATAAGTTCCAGCCTCACAGGGGGTACACTCAGAGGCATAAGCAACCCCTACAAAAATCAAGATAAATTTTTAATACACACTTACTGAAGTTTTCTAACTTATACCCACCAAAATCTATGTTGTTATAACTAATACACCCTGAACTATACCTCATATAATAGTTTTAAAATTGGATATTAATAGTTACATATGGATTTGTGGAGCTGAATACAATATAGCTTCTTGTGAATTTGGCAGTTTAAACACTGATAACTGACATGAACAATAAAATTTAAACTAGTCTAAGATTTACAAATGTGTAGAAAACTTATCAACTAAAACAGGAAATAGAAGTTACATTTTCACCAGAGACAAGTTATACATTAATAACATGGAAAACACACTGATAGTTAGAGTCAGATAAACAGTTACATAAAAGATAGGTTAAATGCTAATAACTGGTATTACAATATAATAAACAGATATAAAAGAGATGGGTTAAATAATTATAATGGTAATCAAAGTTAATAAGCAGTCAAAGAAGACTGTTAATAAGTGGTATTTATAATCTGATAAACAGTAACACAAGAGATGAGTTATATGTTAAAAACTGGTAATTACAAGCAAATACACAGTTATGCAAGAAATGGGTTACATGTTAATAACTAGAAATTAATAGCTGAAGACAGCAGCCCAAGAGATAAGTTAAATGTTAATACCTGGACTTACAGTCTTGGTAAACAGTTAAACAAGATACAGATTAACTGTTAATAACTGGAATACATACTTGTATTTACAGTCTGATAAACAGTTAAACAAAAGACAGGTTAACTGTTAATAACTGGAATACATACTAGTGTTCACAGTCTGATAAACAGTTAAACGAGAAACAGGTTAACTGTTAATAATTATCAACTTGTCCATAGTTTACCACTTCACTGTTCAGGTTACTGTTCAGAACAGACATTGAATTTTCTTGTCAAATAAAAATTAAGTTGTATCCTTCCTTCACCACATGAAATAAAATATTGTTTATTACAAAACACAAATAAAATAGCACAAACTTCATGTGGTAGATTTGCAAAATATCATTAATAGTTAATATTACCTGTAATAGTAATGGCCTTTATCCTCACAGGCTTATGTTTCCTATCATTACTAGACATCATCCCCATCCCAACAGTCTTCCAATACAGGACATTTAGACCAGCTTTCAATTCAACCTATGTTACAATAATTAAGAAAAGTTTAAAAGGTCTATTCCAGCACAGCATTGATTATATAAATCTGTGAATTGAGTTTTCAATGGAAAACACAGTTATAAACAGAGAGCATGAAAGTTGCCCTCCCCATTCTGTAATAAACTATCAATGGAAAACACAGTTATAAACAGAGCATGAAAGTTGCCTTCTTCATTCTGTAATGAAGAATCAATGGAAAACACAGTTATAAACAGAGCATGAAAGTTGCCTTCTTCATTCTGTAATGAAGAATCAATGGAAAACTTACAGAATGGGGAGGGCAACTTTGTTGTTGTTTATAACTGTGTTTTCCATTGATAGTTCATTACAGAATGAAGAAGGCAACTTTCATGCTCTGTTTATAACTGTCTTTTCCATTGATAATTCATTACAGAATGGGGAAGGCAACTTTCATGTTCTGCTTTGAACTATCAATGGAAAACACAGTTATAAACAGAGCATGAAAGTTGCCTTCCCCCATTCTGTAATGAATTATCAATGGAAAACACAGTTATAAACAGAACATGAAAGTTGCCTTCTTCATTCTGTAATGAAGAATCAATGGAAAACACAGTTATAAACAGAGCATGAAGGTTGCCTTCCCCATTCTGTAATGAAGAATCAATGGCAATTAGAGTTATAAACAACATGAAAGTTTACTTTCTCATCCAGTTATTCAAAAAAGTGGCTTCATTTCTTAAAAATATTTTGTTCACTAAATCTATGTAAAGAAAAGCACACTGTTTATATACACTCTGAGATATCCGTCATTAGATCAGTAGGCATGAATATGTAAATATACACTCTGAGATATCAGTCATTAGATCAATAGGCATGAATATGTAAATATACACTCTGAGATATTAGATTTTCCATTGCTATGTATATATATTCTTAAGTTCCTCAGTATACTGGCCAGAACTACTAACTACAAGTATAAAAAAATTATGATTAAAGACTTCTTCATTCTGCTTCCCTTATAACAGATGGTGACATTTTATAAGATCATAAGAAGAATACACACAACTCAGTCTACTGAAACAAAAACACCAGCTGTTAACTAACTGGGCCGATCACACTAATGTTCAGTAAAGAGTACCACAGTTCATGGTAGAATGAACCAAATGTTTTAGATGTTTAGCTAATAAACGTTTGTTGAACATTTTCAGTTATATTGGTATAATTATTCAGCTTATCTTTCCTATAAAAGTAATGACTTGCACTAGTGATCAGTGTAAATATACTTACAGTGACTGTTTTCCACTGTCCTTCTCCAGACTGTGAAGGCCACTTGTACTTATCAACTTCACTTATTGACTGACATTGATCATTCTGGGCCTGAGTCATAAAATGTGAGTTTATAAATGAGATACCAATGTAACTTAATGTAATCTAGGTAATTCTAATAACAAAACAATTATCTTGCAATCATGAATAAAACAAGAGGAATAAAGATTTACATTCTGTTCCTTTTCCTGTAAGGTTTAAACAGTTTTTGTATAATAAAAACCTTTAAAATTTAATATTCTTCTCAGCATGACTGTCTCAATTTAACATCTCAGTAAGTGACAAAATGAACAATTTTTGTAACAGTGTACTGTTACAATCATTATCTTGGTCTCAGCATATTAACTGAGAGAAATAAAGATTTTTATAACAGTACACCATTACATCCACGAGTGTCTCTAATTAATTCACATTTGTTCAGCTAAATTGATTAGTGCCATGACTGATGAAAATAAATGTTTAACAAGTTGCTGATTGAAATAATAAATGTTTGGCTCACTACTTTTACATTGGAAATTCTTTACACAACACCACGACTGATTTCTTATTCTCCTCTACCTCAAACGAGTGAAGCGTGACTTCTTGTTATGTTTACTTTTCCTTTGTATGTTGAAGATTCACCTAATGTATCTCCATGCTTGTTCACCTACAAGTTCTGTTCACCACCATGTGCTTAATCACCTAGAAATAGTTGTGTACTTTCTGTTCACCACCACATTCTTAATCACCTAGAAATAGTTGTGTACTTTCTGTTCACCACCATGTTCTTAATCACCTAGAAATAGTTGTGTACTTTCTGTTCACCACCATGTTCTTAATCACCTAGAAATAGTTGTGTACTTTCTGTTCACCACCATGTTCTTAATTGTCTAGAAATAGTTGTGTACTTTCTGTTCACCACCACGTTCTCAATTGTCTAGAAATAGTTGTGTACTTTCGGTTCACCACCACGTTCTCAATTGTCTAGAAATAGTTGTGTACTTTCTGTTCACCCCCACGCTCTCAATTGTCTAGAAATAGTTGTGTACTTTCTGTTCACCACCACGTTCGCGATTGTCTAGAAATAGTTGTGTACATTCTGTTCACCACCATGTTCTCGATTGTCTAGAAATATTTGTGTACTTTCTGTACACCACCATGTGCTTAATCACCTAGAAATAGTTGTGTACTTTCTGTTCACCCCCATGTTCTCGATTGTCTAGAAATATTTGTGTACTTTCTGTTCACCACCACATTCTCGATTGTCTAGAAATAGTTGTGTACATTCTGTTCACCACCATGTTCTCAATTGTCTAGAAATAGTTGTGTATATTCTGTTCATCACCACATTCTTGATTGTCTAGAAATATTTGTGTACATTCTGTTCACCACCACGTTCTCGACTGTCTAGAAATATTTGTGTATGTTCTGTTCACCACCACATTCTCGATTGTCTAGAAATAGTTGTGTACTTTCTGTTCACTCTCACGTTCTCAATTGTCTAGAAATATTTGTGTATGTTCTGTTCACCACCACATTCTCAATTGTCTAGAAGTAGTTGTGTACTTTCTGTTCACTCTCACGTTCTCAATTGTCTAGAAATATTTGTGTATGTTTTGTACACCACCACATTCTCGATTGTCTAGAAGTAGTTGTGTACTTTCTGTTCACTCTCACGTTCTCAATTGTCTAGAAATATTTGTGTACGTTCTGTACACCACCACGTTCTCGATTGTCTAGAAGTAGTTGTGTACTTTCTGTTCACCACCATGTTCTCGATTGTCTAGAAATATTTGTGTATGTTCTGTACACCACCACATTCTCGATTGTCTAGAAATAGCTGTGTACTTTCTGTACACCACCATGATCTCGACTGTCTAGAAATAGTTTTGAATGTTCTGTTTGCCACCACATGCTTGATCATCTCAATACATACATAACTTAAGTTAGCCTGTACCTAACAGTAACCTTACTAATCTGTTTTTGTTTAGTATTTTTCTTATTTATAATCAATGTTACAAAGTTATGTATATTTTCATCAACATAAGTTCAGTAGTTTCAGTAGAGTAGACTTGTAGGGAGAAACCTATGGAATGCTATTAACTGTATTTTCAAGTTTGTTGAATGTCATGGCTTAATGAGCCAGATGTTTAACCAGTTATCAAATTATAGCTCTAACAGTAAATATTTCAATCAGACTTGTTTCAATGCAATGTTTTAGAAATTACCTCAAAGTTAAAGATAACATCATCATCAGCATATTCATAAGTGTATGAGAGAATGCCAGGCTTCACAAGTTTAACAGAGTAGGATAGTGTGCTGGCACAGGGTCCACCATGTGATATAATAAAGTTGCCCATAGGTACCCAGGCATTGCTGAAAACAAAATGAAAGCAGAATATGTATAACGGTTACAATGTCTATCAACTTCAAACAATATACTTGTATATAGATATTTACATTTTCTTGCTAAAAGAAAGACAGCACAACAATCATCTTGGATGACATTTCCAAAGGTCTAAAAACATCCAGAGAAAAAAAGACTCACATACACAATCACCTTGCCATTCCATGTGATTTCATGAAAACCAACTACCAATCTGACAGGATATTTAACAAGGATACACTATCATCTAACAGATTTAACCTCTATATACAAGTATCACATATAAATTAAAATTAAAACTCAAAAACTAAGAGTATATATTGGAGGCTTTACCACATTTTAAATTACTTTTCACTATCAATAGCCCATTGGGGAAACGAAATAAAAAGTAAAGAATGAGAAAATAAAACAATTACTACTAATCACTAAACACACCCTTCCTGCACCAACAATTACTACTAATCACTAAACACACCCTTCCTGCACCAACAATTACTACTAATCACTAAACACACCCTTCCTGCACCAACAATTACTACTAGTCACTAAACACACCCTTCCTCACCAACAATTACTACTAGTCACTAAACACACCCTTCCTGCACCAACAATTACTACTAGTCACTAAACACACCCTTCCTGCACCAACAATTACTACTAGTCACTAAACACACCCTTCCTGCACCAA